AAATGAGTTATTGGCCATCTTCATCAGAAAACAGTCTTGATTTAAGATGAGAATATAATTAGCAATTACCTTCATCATTATTTCCTGCTTTTTGTAAAAAATGGTTGTTTTTAATTCTACAAAATATGCAAGTTCTTTAATGAATTCATTCTCAACCATTTGTGAATGTTCTTTTTAGAGTTTTTAGCAAAAGATTTAAGAACTTTATTTTGGTGAGCAATATTTAAAAAGGGAATTCAAAGTCAATATTGTATATTGCTCAAGAAAGTCAAGGGGTATTTTTTTCTCTATTTAAAAGACTTATCATGGAAAGGATGTTCAAGGCTAAAAAGGAGGGGGCAGATGGTGGCAAGTGTCAATACAGTTATATAAATAGGCTTAAAAATAAGAATTTATAATCAAAAGAAAACATGGAATCCTATTCATCCTTGCCATTGAAGCTTCTTTTGTTTCTAGTTATGCCTTTCATCCAGGTATTTTTACTTGAAAACAGAATTCTGTGATGTTAGATCCCTCTCTTTCTCATGAGACACCAAGTAATATAGATCTTGTTAGTTTAAGGCTGCCATGATATTTCCCCCTTGGGATAAGAACTATTTTGGATCCAGAAAGCTAGCAGAATGTAAAATCACTTCTGATAACTGGTTTTCTATTTCATCCAAGTTCAATTAGTACAAGATATTGTATTTGTGAATTACCTGCCATCCAAGGCCTCCTGGTGCATTTATAATCACAAGCAAGCTATATGCTAAGAATTTTCTATAATACTCATGGAAAACTGTTTATTATGTGATGCACAACACTTTTGTCAGTATATTAGCTAAGAAAGAAATGGCTTCTATTTGTTTATTTTACAACCACAGTTTTAGTTTTGCTGAGCCATCAGCTTATATACTCCAAGCAAAAATGAAGTAAGAATACAAGTTATTTTCACTGGTAATTCATATGGGATTCTTAACATTAGGTAAAATGATTGGACTTGAACTGGAAAAGCAGATTAAGCCTGTCCATTTTCAGATTATTTTAGCCATAGAATTTATTAACAAGAGAAAGGAAATTAATGAAGATGTTCTTCTTATAACTGATTAGTAAATTTCTAATCATTTCTATTTTTTGTAATTACAGAAAAAAGCCAAACTATATTAATGTCTGTTTCAACTGGCCATATGTTGAGCATCAGAATTGCGGTCTATTATAACCATTCATTTTGTTCTCTAGAGATTAGGGTGTTGAAATCTCAAAAGATAATTTTAGTCCTTTGAATATATTATGATTAAGTAACTCTGAGAGCTAACACAGGATTGATACATTATAGTAATTAAAATATTCCCTGTATTTTAATACAATAAATAATAAAAGTCATTTTATGCATACATTTAACACTTCTCAAAATAAATAACAAGAAATTATTACCAGGGAAAAAGTGAAAATGTATTTGAAATCTAATATTTTACAAGCTATATTATATGTGTTCTAATGAGAAAATAATCATGCAGATTCTCCAGAAGTTTTGGATACTGATGCGAATTATTATCAGTTTGGAATCATAAATGTAATTCCTTCCGCCTTTCTTTCTTTTTGTTTTTTTTGTTCTTTCAAGCCTCCATTCTTCCTTGCTTACTGTTTTCCCTTCTTCATTTTCTTTCTTCCCACAGGCAGATGAGAAACCAGAGGAGAGAAATCTAAGATGGTATGACTATATATATATATATAACTAATATTGAAGAGAAGAATGACAGTATATCCAATCTAGGTAGATAGGTAGGCAGGCAGATAGATAGATAGATAGATAGATAAACTACTGAAGTATAAAAGACATAAGGCTGTGAAAATAAATTGCATCTTAATGAGAAAAAATTTCTTTCATACAGAGCACAGGTCATTGTCACTATGTTAAAAAATCATTTTTATTCTATCATTTCTCTGAATGAAACTGCTAAGAAAAAAAAAGAAACATTTTTCTCCATGAAGTAGCATATTTATTTCCTTGAAGTTCAAATTCTATTTCCTCTGCTGGAGGAAAAAAAAATCCGTTGTTTGACTTTCTCAGACATCACCATGTTGCTGTTTCCCTCTGTTTTAAGTAAAACATAGAGATTGCAGTGCAAGCTTCTCTCCTTGTTCTAGCCTGCATACAAGCAAAGCCTCAGATCCTAGGGTGTAAGATGGCCAGGCTGCAAGCCACCACCTCATTCTCATGCAGGGTGGCAGTTTATTCTCAACACCAAAATATGAACTGAGCATTTGTGGCCATCTTTATTATTTCAAAACTGAAGTCAAGAGTAACACCTTGGAGAGGCAGGCACTATGACGCAACAGGTGAAACCACTGTCTGTGATACTAGCATGGGCACCAGTTCATATCCTGGATGTCCCACTTCTAATCCAGCTCCTGGCTAACATCCTGAGAAAGGCAGCAGAAGATGGCACAAGTGTTTTGGCCCCTGCCACTCACATGGGAGATCTGGATGAAGCTCTTGGCTTCTGGTTTGGGCCTAACCCCTTTCTGGCCCTTGTAACCATCTGGGGAGTGAACCAGCGGATGGAATCATTCTCTCTCATTCTCTCTCTTACTATCTTACTCTCTTTCTCTCTCTATTACTCTCTCTTCCTGTTTCTCTCTCACTCTGTGTGTGAGTGTGTGTAACTTTTTTCAAATGGATAAAGAAATCTTAAAAAGGAAAGTAATGACTTGACTTGTAAACTTTTAAATAAATACTAATCTTAATTATTTTGACTTCCACATCTATTTTCTTCATTTGCTTGGTTTGTTTCAGGCCTGAGGAATAATAAATGTAAATCCACAGGATCGTGGGCCAACATGACCTACATTTCTGGAAATCAAAATTGGTGAACTTTTCATGTATTTTTATATGACTAGACTAGAGAGCCTGAGTGAAATTAGCAAAATATGTGATTTTAATAGGGAAGGCAAATTACAATATGAAGAATGAAGTGCGTTAGAATGGAGTAGTTAGAACTCAGTTACTGTGAACACACTGGTAAAACCATTATAAATGGAATGACAATGAGAAATTACTTGATTAGTTGTTTTGTTTCTCAAAGAAAACTATTCAGCTATTTTTAAAAATTTACTTATTTGAAAGGCAGAAACAAAGACCAAAAGAAAGACAGACAGACATTAAGAGATTCCCCATCAGCTGGTTCACTTCCCAGATGGCCCCAGGGGTCATAGCTGGACCAGGCTGATGCCACAAAGTTGGAACTCATTCAAGGTTTTCCACATTGGTGACAGGGACCAACCACTTGGACATTACTGCTGTCTCAGAGGGTACAGATGGATAGGAGTCTGGAAACAGAAGCAGAGCAAGAACTTGAAGTCAGGTACTCTGATCCGGGTTGCAGGTGTCCTGAATATTTTCTTAATTGCTGCACTAAATGCCCACACTTTCTTTACTATTTGAATATTTAATTGTGTATTTTAGAATAGCCTCTGAAGATACAGAAAGAAAAACCAACTATAACTCATATTCATCTTCTTTTACTATAATTTTGTTACAGATAAGAAAGCAGGGATTATAGAAAGAACTGGAGGGAATATCTTCCCCAGGTCTCCCTCTGAAAACTTCTTTCATGACTTAAACCCTAAAATCACTATTACAGCAAAGTATGGTCCAGAAACAACACCCTACGAAAATGTCCATCATGGCTGCTAACTACATCCCAGCAATGACCCACTGCCAATTTTAATGTGATTATAACACAATTACCATGGCTTACATTTCCACTCCTATCATGCAATCCAAGAATTCCTAAAGATATCAGAAACTGGGCAGTTAACATATTCCTGGAGATCCCCATTTCTCCCTGACACACAAAGCACCACAACTTATCCCTCCACATCATGTAAAAAAATGACCTCAGACCTTGCAGACTGCAACTTACTCTAGAAAATACCTGCCTTTCCTCTGACAGTATATTTTTGCTTTACTAATAAACCCATTTGTCTATTAACTTTTACATCTCTTATTCAGATTCTTTCATGAGTCAGAGACAAGAGCCTGGGCCTTTTAGCCTCCCAGCACTTTTATAACACATGACATCTCTGACATCAGATATTTGAATTCCTCCTCACCCCACCCCCATATCTAAACACACACACACACACACACACACACACACACTAAGCAAGCAATGTGATTGGCTCGGTGTCCTCTAATACCTGCAGTTCTCCAGGTAGACACTGTGAGATCATGCAGATTGGAGGTTTGGTGACCAAGAGCATCCTCTTCCAAATTTAGATGCTTTTTAAAAATATTATTTAAAAATCCATAAAAATTACATTCTTTGGTATTTTGGCCTTTAGTATTCTTTTCACATTAAAAGCATCACATCTTTATATGAGTCAAAGCACACACTGTTCTATATTCATTCTCTTTCACAATCCAGGTTGCTTAATTATTCTAACATGTATTTGTCATCATTATTCTCATTTAGTTATTGACATTTAAAATTACTGCTACATCTCTCATTTTGCACTTCTGTGGAAAAACGTGAATCATAAGACCCAACTTCCTATAGATGATCCTAGAAAATTTATTACTCATGAATTTTTCAATGTGAAAGCAATTAAATTTTTTAAAAAGAATAGTTAAAAATAGTTGCATTTGAGAAGTTTCCAACTTGTTGACTATTTTTTAACATGGCTTTATATAATGCCTTTTATTGCTCTTCATATTGAAACAGTAACAATAGTGAGAAACTCATAATACATTTATTCTAAAACCATCAACATGGAGACAAATACTACAAATTAGGTTTTTATTTGAAACACAAATTGAGGTTCAGCAAGGGAGAATTTTAGTACTATTTTGATGATCCGATATTAGGATGCATGTTTGTGATGGAAAGCTTTGCAATTAAGCTGCTATTTCTTTCTTCAATTGACTCTGATTTTCAAGTCTACTAATATGCATGTGAATGACATTAGATAGAGAATCTAAGTTCCAATAATTTTCAGGAAAGGAGAAATGTTCTTACCATAATGCTAATTGGTATCTTGAGCTTCAAAACAGCAAATGATTCTTCGTTGACTTTGGTTTCTTTAACATCTCATTGACTCCTACCATCATTCATTTTTCTATAGTGCAGACTCTGATTTAAGGAAGATGTTAGAAAATCTTATTGTTTTTAAATTATTGTGTTTTGGTTTGTTTTTAATAGTGACATGATAGAGTATGGTCAGACAATTACATAACACTTACTTATTTTTATTTGCAATATTACTTGAAATTTCTAAAACACTATAATTTTTATAAAATATCCATAGAAGTCTTGTTAGACATAAATATCATGCAATGGAGTATATCAACATATTTGTTTATTTTTTCAGTAACTTTATTAAGGTAAATGATTTTCCCTACTAAAGAATATTAAATACAACCACTACTATTTATCCATTTGATCACTTTTGACCATTGCTCCAAAGCCATTAAATCACTTGGTATGACTGATACAAAATGAATTTGCTCCCCTCTGAAGATTAAAGTCTTGAAAACTTGGTTTTCTATGACATTTTAATAGCACATGGCACATCAATATCATTATTAGGAATCCTAAATGTTTGTTAAATAATAAATATAAATTAGATAATAAAAATGAAGTAGAAACCATCCCATCAACATGAGTCTATGCAAATAAGAATGATACAGAATAAAGAATAATTATCCAGGTAATTTTGTTAATACACAATGCTGGTATAATTCATTTAGGTTTCATATATGCATCCATTCATTGTTTATGTACATAGATTTAAGTGTTAAGTCTAGCTTTTAATTCCACACATAAGAAAAAAATGGAAAATATAAAAATAAAGCAAAGATGCTCACACCCTCAGATGTTCCTGGACCAGGGAGATGTTAGGAGTATTTCCCTAATGTCATCTAGTAACTGTCATACAGGTATTTAAAATTAAAATATGGCATTCTAAGTTAAAGAAGAACTGAGAATACCATCTGCATTTTGATGAGTTCACTAAGGAAATAGTTCAAGGTTTCACCATCTTTACAAAGCAGGGCTTATTCAAAACGTAGATGCTAGAAATTCACTTCTAAATTCTGATTCATTTCATGTAGCATATGACTTAGGAGTATGTACTTAAGCATTTGCTTCTGATGCAGGTTTAGAGCAATGCTAGCCTATGGATTTTTCTGAAATTTAGCACACTTAGTAATTGAATTGTTACATTTCACAAAGATATGGAGGCACAGGAAACTTTCTTGTGAAACATTCACAGCAAACAGATGGACACAACGAAAAGACTATTATTAATGATAAAAAAGCAACTGCATAGCACATAAAAACCCATTTGCTGTCTTCAAAGAATCTTCTCCGTGGAAAGCTAAAATTTGTCATATGAATATATTTTTGGATGAAGAAACTTAACTCAGTAGTTGGATTTAATAAATTGTGGTTGGATAATGACATATCTCCACTACATCCTGTCTTCTCAAATTTCAAAACATAATAATAATAGGGTATCTACTTAAAACACAAGTTCTGGGTTTGTAGATGTTGATTGGAGCCTAAACTCCTGAATTCCTAAGAAGCTCCAGCTGATACAATCACTGAGGCTACCTAAGTACCATACTTTAAGGAGTAAAGCACCAGTCAGATCCTAGAAAATAAAAAATTCTAGTCAGCAGTCAATATGCTCCCTGAAAGCTCGCAGTTTTCATTCAGTAAAATTTTTAAATATGTAAAGACGTTTCCTTATATTTATATATAATATATTATACATAATAAACATATATTTTGATGTCTTTTGAGACTGTTCTTTTGTGATAATTTATCTTAGTAAAGAAATTTAATTATTGAATTCTATTTATAACACATATTTGTATTCTGATATTTAGTATATTTCCTTAATGTAACCTTTCCTTTCTCAACAACCTCCAGAAACACTTATTAGTGTATGTGTTATAGGAGAACATAAACCAAAATGTAACATTTCGAGTTATTGCTGTTTACTTAGATGAGAATTCTAAGCACCAGCCCAAAAGAGACAGCAGGCATGGTAAAATTCAGGATTTATTTGGAAAGTGAGGGAAATACACAGGAATATGAGGGCTTTATTAAGGAGAGTGGGTCAGAGAGAGTAAAGAGTAAATGGGGAGTTCCATACCAGCCTTCTCCAGGGAGCAGGCCAGAGCCTGTGAGAGGGTACGTGAGCTGGAGAGAGGCGAGAGGGGCAGGCAAGCAAAGTGGCCAAGCGGTCCAGGTCACTCTAGACTCTTAACCACTTCAAAATGGGGAGTGGTTACATAGTCTGATTGACAGGTGGGTGAATATAGGTGAGATCATACAGGGGGCAGGAGAGTGTGGTGCCCAGCTCATGAACCTGATTCTATCTCCTTGATTAACCCCATATCTTTTTTTTTTTATTAATCCCATATCATAAGTATTGATTCAATTCCACCATATATTCCTTTATTTAAGTAATCATTCACTTGTTGGTTCATTCAACAACAGCAAACTGTCATTTTTGCTGTTGGCATTGCTAGTTGCCATGAAACTCCAAAAGCTATTCAACTTGGAATACTATTAAATATTTTATAATTAAGTTGAGAAAAACCCTAAGACAAGAAGGGGAAGAGTCAGATCCATACAATATGGATCAAGTCCCTTGTACAGGTAGAGATTTTGAAATTCAAGGAGATTCAACTAATGTCTTATGTTCATATAAATTATTACAATTGAAGAGTCTGTGTCTAATTGCATGACCATCATGAGTGAATAAAATAGTGGTCAAAAATAATAAACTTTAGGAATAAAAGTTCTCTCACTCTTTATTAAGCATAATATATCTTATTATTCTACATTTTTCATTGAAATTATTGAAAACTCTAGTTAAATTTCAGAATAATTGGTGTAATAAACTTCAATAAAGCCTTAAAAGGTCTTCATTTTTCAAGTCAATTATCATGAATTAACATCATGAAAGAGTTAAAATCAGGGGCAGGGAAAAAGAACTCACAGACCTAGAAGTTATCTCACAAAATAGACTGTTTGTATGAAGATTCTGAATACAAAAGACTCTTTTCTAATAAGTAGGATTATGTGATGGTCTGTTTTGCATTGTAGGGGATCTGGTCACAAAAGAAAACTTAGCTACATTTACACAAAAGGTACTAAATATAACCTCCCTCTTTCTAATGCTTATTCAAATTTATCCATGGGTGGGGGGACACTTGCTTCCTAACTTGAGGTTTACATTTCTTTCACTGAGTCTTGGAGACCTCAGAATCAAAAGATGCTCAAATCTTCTCCACATGCCTAATGAAGGCTTATGGTGCGACTTGAGTTTTTTTTTTTTTTTTTTTTTTTTTTTTTTTGTGATGCTGAAGCAAAGCAAGATTAGGATTCAATTAAGTTCAGACTTAGGCATATTAGTTTGAGAATAAATATCAGGAGAAAATTTAGGTAGAATAAAAATTTCTGGAGGCACCATAGTCATGTACCTAGGTATGAGTATAGAGTCCATAGCCAAGAACCTGATAAATCTAAACAATATAAATGTCAATGAGAAACTAGAATAACACTTAAGTGATGTTAACTTCTTTCTCTGGTTTGAATTTTATGACCCCAGGTTATCTTTTTTTTTTTTTTTTGAATTTAAATGCATTTTATTTTTAGACAACCTACATGACAATGTTTTTTGCCTTAAAAACAATGCCTCCACTTGAAGTAAATCATGGTCAAAATAAGTGAGGAGCTCAAGATAACATCAGTCCCACTTCCTGTAAATCCTGGTGTTGTGTGGATGACAAGCAGCAGCCAGTTATGATGAGCAGTGATAGATCCAAATTGCCAACTTTGTTACTGAAGAAAAAAAAAAAAAAAAGATTACATCAACACTCTCCACGCAACATTCCTAGGCTACAAATGTATTCCCCAATTCAATCTGGGCTGCCACAAAGACAGACAGAAAGCGCAGGGATTTTTCTTTGGCATCCTAGTGCAAACCAAAAGAACAACAGCAGATTATTCAAGGTCTATCAGTGGATGCAGTTATCTTTTTTTTTAAGATTTATTTTATTCATTTGAAAGACAGTTACAGAGAGAGGTAGAGACACAGAGGTCTTCCATCTGCTGGTTCATTCGCCCATCTGGCTGCAACGGCTGAAACTACACCAATCCGAAGCCAAGAGCTTCTTCTGAGTCACCCACATGGGTGCAGGGGCCCAAGGACTTGGGCCATCTTCTACTGCTTTCCCAGGCCATAGCAGAGAGCTGGATGGGAAGTGGAGCAGCTGGGACTCAAACCGGCGCCCACATGGGATGCCTGTGCTTCAGTACAGGGCTTCAACCCACTGTGCCTCACCCCCAGGTTATCTTGAGAAGGAGTTGCTATTCAGCTTAATTAGTTCATGGTGAGGCAGAAACATTGGATAGAGCTTTTCTTTGGGATTTGGTGACAACCAAAGCTATGTATATTATATTCTATTTTTTTTTTAATGCTTTGCCAGTCATACAAATTCTAATTCAGTACAATTACTCTTTTCATTCATGAAGTTTATTTCCAAACAAGGAGTTAAATTCTAGCCTAAATATTTTAATCTGCAAGTGCAATAATAATTTATCATTAAAAGAACTAAACACCAATACATAGACTGTGCTTTAGGCTAGCTCTATTTTTGATTTCCATTATACATATTGTAATTTTAATGAACAGAAATGTAAATATTTTTATTATACAACATGCTGTTTTTGTATGTTTATATATAGAAATGTTTAAATCAACATAATTACATATGGCTGAGCTCACATATTTAGCATTGTTTTGTGGCGCACACGCTTAAAAAGTCTCCCCTCTTAGCAATTCTTCAGTAGACAATATTGTCACAAAGATGTGCAATAGGTTTCTTGAAGTTATTTCTTCTGTCTCATTGAAATTTTGTATCTTTTGGCTGATATCTTTCCAACCCACAGCTTCTAGCTTGTGGTAACCACCATTATTCAATGTTTCTAAGAAAGCAGTTTCTTCAGTTTCCACATGTGAGATCATGCACTATGTGTCTTTCTGTACCTGGATTATTTCACTTAGTGTTATAACCTCATGTCCATCCACATTGTCATAAATGATAGGAAATTATCATTTTGTAAAAAAGATTAATAATATTTCATTGTGTACAAATTCCATATTTTTTATCCACTCATAGCTGTTGATGGACAGTTAAGTTGAATCCTTGTCATGGCTATTCTGAATAATACTGCAATGGGGGCCAGCACTGTGATGTAGCGGGTAAAGCTGCAGCCTGCAGTGTCAGTATCCCATATGGGCGCCGGTTCAGGTCCTGGCTGCTCCACTTCTGATCCAGCTCTTTGCTATGGCCTGG